ACAAACTTATTATTGATGATGGTATTAAAGAAACACGCATTTTGAATCCTACTCGTTCGAATCCGATGTGTTCTTGTAATGTATATGGAGTGTTTGGTGTAAGTTATAAGCAGTTCGGTACGGCGTATAGCTTGTTGATGTGAAACCAGGCGTCGCGGAGAATTTACACCTGACAATAGTCGATTCCCCGCTGGACGCCCACCTTTATAATGAAATAATCTGCCACTCCTTTTGCCGTCCGGATGGAGTTGTAGTGTTTTTAAATACCGACCGACAACCGAACTCCAACATTTCATGTTAAATTAATTCGAATGTGGCGTATACGAAAATTAAAGTATTTCGGTTGGAATTGCTTTGGATACGGTTCAAGTTTGAAATTGAGGTCGCATCAAGGGGCATTAAATTGGATTGGAATAAAAAGACACTAATTTTTGCATTTGAATTTTGGTTGCAGACCGAGTTATACTAATCTATTAATAGAGCTACCTTGATGATTCATTTGAGCGAACCAAATTTTAAAAAATATCTAATTAGAAAAGTTAAGGGTTACAAACCCCTTAAAGTGTATTCTACTCGAGGCTGTTAATTAGCAGGCAATGTCAAATTGATTGGAGAATATCATGACTGCTATGTAGAGTGAAAATAATTTAAAAAGCGAAGAGGAGGAATAGAAGGAAAGTTTCAATCTCCGTTCGTAAATTACTACCATATGGAAAAGTGAGATATTGGTTTAGCCTGTGCTTTAGAAACATTAATACACGGAATACATTATAGTAATTAATATCATGTACTAGTAAAGAGAACACATTCACAAATCCTTATATAAGGCACCGCTTAGTATCCAATCCTCGCAATTGTACAAGGTAATTCCACTTTCAATAAGTAAACATAAAAATGTGTATCATTAAACTCGGGCGTTTTGTAATGAGTAATGACCCAAAAAAAAGCTTAGAAACGTTTACAGTTACTGTCAATTAATGCAAGCTTGTTAAATTTTAAATGGAGTCTAATCTAACTTGTAAATTACCCTTTTAAGTTATTCAAACTCGTGAGATATGAGGACACCCCCACTGTGATAATTTATTATTTCTATATCATGGCGTGACTTGCATTGTTTATTAGAACAATTATCGGGGCCTAATGATTTGCATAAATAAAAATGACGGACAAGAATTTTATACTATTAATAATCTTAATGTGTAGACAATGAAATGGTTCTTTTAGTTAATTAATAGTAATGGTAGGATCCTCACGGCGCTGTTACCGATGGTTCATTTAGTTTGATTTATCCCAGGCGTTTCTGTTCAAAATACGAAGAAACGTGAAGTTCGATTTTGGACGATCCCGCAAAACGCGAGAGAGGAAGACACGCTTTATATTCTAATCAGAAAGTTTTATCCGAGGTTTTATCTAATAACATTGTAAACTCAAGATGGCTTATGATTTCTTCTTTTAATAACCTTGGACAATGCTTTTGTTAGGAGGGTGGATATATTCTAATAGGGCCAAGATTTACTAGATATCTGTGACAATCAACTTAATTCTCATTTACAATTGCAATAGTACCATTATTTAAACAAAACGTTGTATCGGAGAAGATAGCTTTTAATTTAATGCTCTCGAGATTTTAAGAAGTATAGTTTTACCAATTTTAAAACTTCCACAACGATTTTAAGAAGATTCTAGGACGACGTTACAAAAGGGGATTTTAAGCCATGTTGGGGTAGTTGCTTGGAAATATGTAGGAACAAAATCGTTTTCTACCATTTTGTCTTAAGCCCAGAAAAATGAACATGAAAAGCAAGACAGTTGGGGAATCTTGCACCCCAAACCAAAAGGGCTCGTTAATTTTGGCATAAATAACGCTCTCTGATAATCGTACCGTATCGAATTATGAAGGTTCGCTCCAGCAAGTAAATTGGACTTCGAGATTTTTCATTTTGGGCGATTTTGTAATAAATTTAGTTAATCTCTCGACCACATTTTCCAAAAAACCTTGCCTCAATTTGGAGCAATGCTGCCAAATATTGAAACCATGGTATAGTGGTGTAATCAAATTGAGACGATTAAGGGGCGATTCTGATAGGTCTTTTTTCCGGAAATGAAGGTAGTGCTTGACCTATTTAGTCCTAGCCCTACCCACTAGCCACCCTAACCACTTTGCACAATTATATACTGGACCAAAAGAAATATTTTCAGAAAGGGAGCCCCCTCTGGCAAGGAGATAGTGAGCCACCCTTAAAGGTGTATTTTTTAGTTTTTGGCAATTTTACCGGACCCTTTATCCAAAAATATGTGGATACCTTTTTTGTAGAGCATAAAATTTCATTGCAGTAATCTGGCGTATCCGAACTGTAAGTATCCAGCAGAATCGTACCTTTTTGCATATTGTTAGTCAACATTCTTTGTAATACAGTTCCTTTTTGACTTAACATCTTTTTGAGTAAAATATTTAGTGTTTTGGTGAAATCATATCATCCTCTAAGGCGAGTTTTTCGTAAAATGTAACAATAACCGGTTGAGGTTTTGTTTTAGTGGTTATAGTGGCCATAGAACAAAAGCTAATACACCTTATCGATAGTGAATTTTATTCTAAACCACACATCTTTTGAAAAATGATGTGGTTTTCCTGTAAAATGTCAAAAGTGCTCGATGTGAATCAAAATCTAGTTTTGATGCTATTATATACACCCCGATCAAGTTGTATGCCTCCACTTTTCGGGGAAAACGTATGAATACCTTTTTAAGGTGTTTGAAAAAAACCTTTCTTTTTTTTAATAAAAGTTCCTAGCATCAAAACTAAGTGAGCTCCGCTTTACAGTTATTTATGTATTGTTTATATGATCTGTAAGTTTGACCGGTGCAAAGTGCTTATTTTTGAAAAAATGTGGTTTTGAAGTAAAAGAAAAATTTGAAATTTTCAAAAATTGCCTTTTTTTTCAAAATAACTAAATGTATTAGTGATACGAAAAATGTACAAAAAAAATGTAGCTTTTACTTTTCTGAACATTTCGCTTTTTTGTTTTTCTGTAAAACAAAAATTGGTTAAGATATGGCTGTTCAAAGCCTTTTCAAGTACAACCCTTTCAAAAATAAGGGTTAAAAAAATTAATTTGAATAATATAAATATAAATTTTATTGTTTTCTATTTGTTATTGAAAATCTAGAGATCTAAGACGTATATTTCAAACAATAAGGGTTGTTTTTTTAATTGAAATAAAATAAATTCGTAAAATTTTAATTAAAAAAATTACTGTATAAAGTATCAATGATGAAAAAGAATTACTACAATAAGGGTAGAAATTATGTGGTAAAAAATAAAAATAGCAAAGAAATCTAAATTTAATGTTACACTATAATTAAATAATCCCAAATTGCTTGAATTTACAATTATATGTTTAATAGGGGTAGTTACCACACCTAAAAAATAAACAGCAACCAACGGCACAAGTCCAATTTTGAAGTAGATGGTTTAGAATAACCTAAATCCAAATTTCCATGCAAATCAGTGGAGTCAAAGTATTCTATGACATTGTTTTAATTATAACTATTGTAGAGGTAAGATTTAGGGGTTGTTAAACTGTGATAAAATCTTAAGTTATGCTGTTTAATGTTAATTGATATTTATTCACTCCTTTAAAAGAAGATTTGAATCAATTACCCGCTTTAATTTACAATTATACGATTTTTTTCTAATAGGGATAGTTCATTCCCCTAAAAAATAAATGCAACCCTGGGCTCAAGTTCAACGTTGAAGTGGAGGGTAAGTAGAATCTGAATCCAAATTTTCATGCGATTCGGTGGAGACGCGGAAAATTGCAGAGTATCGCCGTATTCCACGTTCATTTACTGTCCTAATAAGGTAAACGCTTAATTTAGAGGGGATCTTTTGAATTTGGTGGTTTACCGAAACGGACAATCTTTTGGCTATTAAATCTTTTTGATGGCTTATAAGAGAAATAGGCCTTAGCGTGCCCAGTTCTTTCTTGGAGGTTGATACTACCGCAGCCTGCTTCCACTCTGAGCGATATTGGCCAGAATTTATAACCGCTTCGATTTCTCCTGGGCCACCTTTGATACCATTTCCGACGGTAAACTATCCGGGCTAGAATCTTTCCTCTTCGGCGTAGTTCGTGCCGCTCTATTTTTTTCCTCCGCCCCTATCTCTCGTCTATCTGGTTCCAGGTTCAGTAGACTCCTGCTATCTTGGTCTCTCCCACGAGAGAAAAATTATTTCCTGCGTCTGTACCCATTATTTTTTTTCTCAATTTCCCCGTGACAATCCAATACGCCTTTCCCCATACGTCATTGTCCAATTCGTAGCACAATATCTTTCCCATAATTTCTTCTTCTTACTTTCTTTTTTTTTAGTTCCATTCGACGTGCCTTATATTCCGCCCTGAGCGTTTCCCTTTCCAGCTCCTCGTTGTTGCTCCTTCTCCCCACTCTTTTTTATTATTATTTAGGAAAACTCGAAACTTAAAAATTGTTTATTATTATTTTAGGAAAAATCGAGGTTCAAACATTTTTTATTATTATTTTAGGAAAAATTGAGACGAAAATTTTTTATTATTATTATTTCTGTTTGCTTTATACTTAATGTAAATCTTTCAGCTCGGCCTGATAATAACGTTTTAAGTCGAAATCGATAGCCTATAGAAAAAATAATAATAAAAAGTTTTTGAATCTCGATTTTTCCTATTCGTTTTTAAAAATTAACAGGTTTGGTGAGAATAACAATAAATGAATTAAACGGAAAGCTAACTGATGAATAGAAAAAATAAAAGGAAAACTGATTCAGGCTAGTAATCGCGTGAAATACAAATTCCGTCTTTAATAGGGACACAAAGAGGAGCACAAACAAGGAGAGGTTACACTGTGAATGAAAGTGGCGACATCTATGTAGGGATTTTACACCACCTATTACAAATAAGAAGTCTACGTTACAAATTTTCTTTACGTTTAAACGTTTGGTACGAAGCATTACAATTGCTAATCAATCGAAACTAAACCCGTATATTCAATGTCGACAAGAAATTATAAATACAAATGAAAGTTTCAAAAACCGTAGCGCATGCGCTAGTCCGTATACTCCCACCAGCCCTTCTCATAGCCCTCGTGAACATGACCGAGCAAAGCTATACGTCTCAGGTTGCAGTACATGTACTTATCTTGCGCCTCCTGTTTAATGTTGGGGAGATTCTCTTGAGTAATGTCCCTCTCCAGGTACTCACTAAGAAGCTCGGTGCTGCTCTCCAGGTCCTTCTGATTATCTTCAAAAATGACAGACTGATTATTCTTGCGCAAGTAGTAAGCAAACACATAGGTGTACATCAAGGTCTGTCGACACTTGCAGAGTATGTCGACCGCCCTTTTCAAGAACTGCACCTCGATCCAGCCCATGTTGTTGTCCTGCATTTCGTCCATCTTGGCTTGAACTTCTTCGTATAGTTTATTTTCGAATCTCAGAGACTGCATGTGATTCATGTACCTGTTGCAGTAGAATAGGTACCGTTGCAGCTCGGCACGGGAACGGTCCTGGGCGTCTCTTGCCGCCTTCGCCTCGTGATCATCGTAACGGTTGCAGCTGTACCACGAGCTACCGTGGGGCTCCCATGGTCCCAGGCACACCCAACAAAAGTCCGCCTTGCAACTTTGATTCTTACATACCATGTGATTGCAGCCCCCATCCTTCACGATTGTGGCGTTACACTTGGGGCATTCTTTGGTATTTGCCGCAATCCAGTTTGAGGTTTCGGAATCCTCGTCGCATTTTTTAATCCACCTTCTTAATAGTTCACAACGAACTGGTTCGTGCCAGTGTTCCCCGCAGGCAAAACAAAAGACATGGCCGCATCGACATGTAACTGGAAGAGCATCAACATAGGCCACCTTTATCGCATAGTTACAGTCGGGACCTGGACACCAACGCAATAACCTATTGCACTCTACAAAACTGCTGGTGATTAAATGCTGATATTTGACACGTATTTGAGGATCGTTCAGTAATCTCATCGCCGATTGGTCATCGACAAGTATGGGACAATTGTGGGCAGCGCACGCGATACTTTTTCCAACACCTTCCTCCATGACCTTAGTCGTAAGGTACTCGTTCCAGCACGGGTAGCAGAACCTATGCCCGCATTCCAATCCAGTCATTTGCGACTGGTGCAGTACCATAAAACAAATCTCGCACTCCTCCGTCCCAAGAATCTTCCTCGAAAATTTCGGCTTCGTCACACTGACGCGCTTAAACGGACTAACAACGTGCGCCTCTCGAAACAATTCATCCTGATTGCCGTCGTAAAAGCGTTCCAGCAACTTCTCCTTGTCCCAGTTGAAGAAATTTAGTAGAGTACGTGTTGTAGCTGCGGGCATCTGTACGACGGTGTTCACGTCCTTGATGGTATCCGTCATGTACTGTACAATGTCATCAGTTGAAAGCACTTCAAATTGATAGTCTTCATTGGTGGTGAAGGCCGCACCTGCTTCGACTTCCATAGCAAAGTCGACGTCGTCGCCACTCGTTTCATTTCCGGAGTCCTCATATTCCTGCGAGATCATCGGATTAGCACATTTTAATTTATAGACCGTTTATTAATCACTGCTCGATTTTGATCGGTTTCCAAATTTGACAGTGGCATTTTAGAAATTTGTCAACAGTGATCGTTTTAAGTCGTTCGTGTACTGTTCAAATTGATGAAGAGTGTACGCGAAAATTGACTCCTGGCGTCTGAGTAGTGAGCAAACGGAAAAGAAAAAATCGATTTGCTCTGACTAAGCCTGGGTTGACTACCAGCGTGGTGATAATGCTCCATGTCGCACATTGGTTTCTAGGTTAATTTCTACCAATCCGATGTATTTGGCCAAAACATGACGGATCTCCCAACTACCAATAGAAAATAACACCATCGTATGGTGACACTGTCTCTCTCTGTGCAGTCAAAAGCCCTTCTACTTGTTCATAGACATTCAATGAGCCTTTTTGCTTATTCGTTCAATGTGCCCTTTTCAGGTCAGGCGAGAATCTATGATGACTTCCAAATATTTCACTGCCCTGGTCAGACCCAGTTAACGTCCTCAAAGGGTGAGCTCATCAAGGTAATTTTGGTATAAAAACGTACACCCTCATCGAGTCTAAATGTAAATTTTGCTGTGCGTATAGAATTTCCGCAACAATAATTACTTTCTGCTTATAATTAACATTAGCGGAGCGAGAAAAATTGTGAGAATAGAAGGGACGCGTGCACATCGCATACGTGATAGGATAGCTATTCTAACGGGTTGTACTAATTGTGAATTCATATGCAAATATGTGCATTGGGATGTTAAACTGGTAATCTCGACTCATTATTTCACAGCTTTTAAGCTCGCCAGGAGGGTGGTTATTCAATGTCCCGCTCCTCGCATCTGTCTTTATGCCAAAAACAATGTTGCGGATTATCGTGATTGCGCGTTCGGCGAGCACGTCGGAGGATAGAGAAGAACGCGCCCGTAATATGGTTAAATTATAAAAATTGTACACAATTCGAGTTCATCGGGGTTAAACAAAAAGCCCCCGTGGGGATTCTTGACCGATTTTCGTGCGTATGAATAAGAACTCCCAATTATAGTCGTTGCTTTAGGACAAAGAAGCGGACGAGTTTGGATGTAATGTGACAGATGTGACCTGATGAAGGAGAACCATTATAAACTTTTTATACATTTTTTTGTTTCTATTAATCGGATTGAGCTTTGACTGCGAGGATGTGGGGCGTCCCTTGCGACCCTCATTTTTAAAACTGTGTTTTTTAAGTGTTTCCAGGGGTTCGGTGTTTTTTGGCGCATTCAAATTAGATTGAACGCCTTTGTAAAAAAAAATCCTTATTTACACCGCAGCCTATCCGCTTAATAATAATAATAATAATAATCATAATATTTTTATTCCATGGACCGTGGTAGGTATAGGACATGTCAAATACACATATAATTACTAACAGACAAATAATATCACAGTTAAAAACCCGTGTAGTATACCAGAGCGGTTTAATAGATATAATTGCAAGCTCATTCAGATTCTTTTTCACGCGGTCGCGCAGGTCAAATAAAACTTCTCAAACAATTTAAGCAAACACATCCAGCACTACGAGAGTTTATAAAAAGCAGCTTTTCATACTTGAATTTTTTACTTGCATGAGGCATAGCCGTTTTGATCAATGAGGGTACAGCACATTTTAGTTTGCTGCCGGATGTGCAAGCGGCGCCCCCCTCCACAGCAGTGGTATGGAAGTTGGCAAACTTTTTGGGAAAATTCACCAGTGCCAGCCAGATCTGGTTCGTTGATGCGAAGAGTGGGTATCGTTCGAGGATGCAGTCTCCTCGTATAAGGGTGGAAGGATCCCTTCTGGTCTTCTTTTCGCACAAAAACATGTGAGCAGGTATGCAGCTCCAGATAGACGAAAATTCTTGACTTTCCTTGTTTTCTTGCTCGGGATGGCCGGAAATCTTCAAAGGAGGATCTAAGTGTTTTAGCAAACTCAAGCCCACAGACAACTCTCCCGACCAGGGATTAAAGGCAAAACCTCCGATATATTTGTGTCAAGGGGGACAACATTTTAACCATACACTACTTCATACCCTTTCACCCTCTGCCCACAGGGTCGTTCTCTTACAAATTTTAAATGACAAGTGGTATCGAGTAATAGCTTGTTTGAAAGGTCTTTTGAAGTTCGTTATTTTGACGATTTTTTAAAATCGGTTTAGAGAAAATTAGAAAAATCGTTATTTAATTTATTTAATCGGCCTATCTTAATTTGTTCAGATAGAAAACAATATCAAACGAAAATGTTACTTATTTGTTGCTATGGGAAAGAAATAATTTAATTTACTGTGAGTTACCTTTGTGACAATCTTGGGATAGTGAAAATTAATTTATTGATTCAGATTTTACTTCCAAATTGGTTTACATACTAGCCGAAAGAGTGGAAATTATTCTAATTTTCTCGAAAACGAATCGACCGATTAAAAAAAATTAAACCTTCTAAGACCTTTGAAACAAACTATTACTCGTTACCACTTATCATTTAAAGTTTGTAAGGAAATGACATTGGGGGGAGGGGGGGGGGGCAGAGGTTGAAAGAGAGTGAAGTAGTTTTTGGTTAAAAAGTTGTCTCCCTTGACAAATCTTTTGACGTATCTCGGAGTTTTTTCGTTTAATCAGTGGTTTTCGATAAATCTGTAGCGGGAAGTTTGCAAATGAACACCCGGTACATGATATATGACGCTCCTAATCCTGTGACAGGCCGGCTGGGATTTTCGGTTCGCTCTTCAGCGGTTAAACGGGTTCCCTGCGCTCCGACGACCGCTACCTCCTTCCTCCTTGAGTACCTGATGCCTTCAATCCATGAACCAATACTTTTTCGGTGGGTTCCCGTCGCTATCCCTTACTGGGCGTCTTGTGGTATCTGACGTATTATGGGAAACCATCTTAGAACTTTTATAAAAATTAAACTACTTAAAATTGGTCTGTTATGGTACCTGATTATACATGTAGAAAGACACCTAGCCCTTTAGTGTTCCTAGATATCCTGGTGCTACTCTCACTAATAGTTGACGTCTCTGCCGATCCTTTTCCTGCGTTTTAGTGAGGTTCCTTAAATCGGTTTTGAAAAGAACTTCGGATTGGGTTTTCCTCGACAGCATTTGACACCGTGGATCATACGCTCTTATTAGAGCATTCCACTGTAGTTATTTATCAATCAGGAGCCAATACGTTGAAATCGGAAACTCGAAAAGTTCTGAGCGGGGGTGCCTCAAGGCTCTGTCTTAGGCCCGATCCTATTTTTGATCTTTGTTAACGCCCTCCTCTCAGGTAAGCTTTATCATCCGTACAATTCTCAACCTTTAAATGAATAATTTTCAAGAGCAAAAACAATTAGGGACTCTACGTCTAATTTTGAGGGTGATCCGGAAATAATTATTCTTGCATTTGGTTGAATGTATACAGGGTGGCCATTTGAAAACGAAACAGAGCCTATTTTGGGGACCTCAAAACATCTACGAAAAAATACTCGGACCCGTCAATTTTTTATTCAAGGGGGAACCATTTTTTCGCTAGTTTCGCCCCCCTAAGGGCAAAGCCCTAGCGGGGGTGACAAGCGCCCCCAAAATTTTAAATCCAATGGGTGGTCGAGTGTGCACCGCCGGCCGGTTGGGTTGCCTACCTACAGGCGCGAAATTCCAGAAGGTAAATTTGGCTCTGGCACCCTTATTTTAGATTTCCGACCCCAAGTGTCCTATATCAAAATACTCCCCTACGCACCACCTACACGCTCCCAAACGGTGGCAGGTACTATAGGAATCACCCTGTATATCAACCCTTAAATATCGTTAATGAAATTGATTCGTATACACTAATATGCCTTCAAGGGGGACTACTCTACTAATTCGAAGTGGCAATCATATATGATTCCCACGGAAAGTGAAAAAGCAGCTAACATTCAAATCAACCATCTCAATTTGTAGATTTTTGCAATGATGTGACACCACGACACTTAAAATTATTAGCTTACAAGATACGTACAAATTGAAGAACGGAACTTAAGCTAATTAGGTTGATATACGTTGCTCGATATTTAAATTCTGTCGAGTGATACCAATTAACATGTGCGTGTATATGCAAATTAAATGTCCTTCAATTCGATATACCCCGAAAACCGAAATAAATTAAATCCCATCCAGTGACACGTGTATCAATTAAACGAATACACACACACACGCACAAACGTAGGTATACCTACAACAGTTCCCAAAAGCACATCACTAATTAAAGTTCTAAAATGAAATGTGTTCCATTATAAAGTAAGTGGCCAGAAATGTTAGGTAAGGTCTGAAGAACCACACCTTACCTACTTAACCTATCGCCTCTCCTGGCTAAGTCAATTTATAAATATTAATATTTAAACACTTCAGTGTAACATATATGCTCGTCTGGTAAAGCCCACACCATTCCGGCAACCAGTTCCTTTAACTTATAATTAATGTAGGTGCATTTAATAAGTTTTGTACGTTTTTTTGGCATTCACTTTTAGCGGTATTTTATTTTTGGTTATAAATGGAGCTTATTTTTAAAATTAATTATTGAGCTTTAAGCGTCAACTTATTAGTGGACGGCTATTAATTTGTGGTACGCATCAAAATTTTCTAATGCTGGTAATATAATATGAAAATTGGCATCCGAAAAGCTTCTCTGATTGTCCCTTTTTTAGGTGAATTGTCAATTTTTGAAACCCTACATTTAATTTACAATGAATAGTGTACATATTCCGTCGTGTTGGTCTGCAGCACACTGCAATCCTTAAGATATCAAAGTACAAGTGAGTGACGAATAGCCGAACCACCCCTGTATAGGATTTTTGCCGAAAAGAATTGTATGTGAAGCAATTATATTGGCAATACTAATTTGTTGATATATAATCACATGAAATTTTAATCAAAAACAAAAATAATTCTTGCTAGATCGACCCCTAAATTGTACTAGCGTTTTCGTCATTTCCGCTGAAAAAAAGAGGTACACCCTCAGATTGGTTTCATAAAAGTTGAGAAATCAATTCCATTAACAATATTTAAGGGTTGATGGTTGATATAACTTATGTTATTCACACTTAAAAATTATTTATGGATAACACTCCCTTAAAGCTGGACTTTTGTTTAGGAAAATTGAGTATTTGCCCTTGAAAATGATTCCCTTAAGAATTGAAAAATGTATCAATCAATTTCATTGATGATTTTTAAGGGTTGATATAGGTAGGTTGCCAAAAAAAATAAGAATAGTTATTGCCGGACCTACTTAATTACACATTGTTCTTCTTTTTCAAAATGACTAGATAAATTAATAATAATCATGTGATGGACACGATATTCACATTTTGTAATTTGGAATTGAGAAATTCAGAAATTAATGACTCGTTTAAATTGCTATTAATTATGTCGAAATTGTCATTCAGCATTTGTGCACTTTTATATCCAAAGTCTAATGCACGTCGTTTAACCGATAATAATTAGGTTAAGTTAAATAGTAATGATTTGGCGTCCGATGTAGGTAGTCTATAATAAATAATTAGAAAATAGAGTAATAAATTTTTAGTATGAGAAGAATGAGTTTATTACAATCAATTAATATCACAAAATCTTAGAAAGATTATTATAAGGGAAAGGAATTATTTTGAAAGTTCTTTAAAGGTTCTATAGAGATTCTAAGAAAATTTTGATACCATCTAAGAACATCCTAAGAATATCACAAAAGGATTTTTAAAGACCTCCATGATCCCAGGATCCCAAGAATCTAAGGTCTTTCAAGGTACATAGGGTTTTAAGAAGGTGGTAAGAAGATTTCATGAAGACTAAAAGGTTTGTAGGTTTCCTAAAAAGGATAGGCTGTAAGAAGATTGTAAGCCTCGGAGAAGATTTCAAAGCTATTCTAAGAATATTATATGAATAAACTTATAAGCACTCAGAGGTGGTTGTTTTCATTTGTTTCCTCCCTGTGCCGATGTGAAAATCTTACCTCCTGAAACACATCTAATGAAAGCTCTTTACAAATCCCATTTTATCTGTATACAAGTATAACATTTTTATTTGACCTATTGTTATAAATTTGCCTCCCTAGGCTAGAGGCCTACTCAGCCTATGCGTAGGTATAGATCTCCCCAGATTTGCAACCCACAAATACCCTTTGGAGGAAATAATTTCCATTTATTCATGGTGTAGATTAGAAAACACTGAGGTAGGTATCCAATTGCTGCACTATAGCAATGGGCGACAAACGGCGATGGAAAATGTTCCCCTGGGTTATCTAAAAGCAGTAATTTAAGTATACGACGAAAATTTGTACACGCTTGACGAGTGCAAATTTATGTAAAGCAAATTGTAAACGGAAAAGGACAAGGAATACTCATCCTGCTCACGTTTTACAACCTTTAATACAAGCAATAGCAATTAGCTACAATGTACAGATAATTTTAAAAATTAGATTACACCAGGCCGAATAATTATCGCACCTGAAGTGCCGCCAATTTAAATTGTAATTTATATAGCTGGATAGGTTTCAAAGAAAAATGACAAGAACACGTTGTGTTCAAGTGGTGTTAACTGATATTAGCTATTGTTCAGACAAGACGATAAATAAATTAGCCTACTCTAAACTTTTCGTTTTGTGTGAAATCTGGAACATAAATTTCATTAAGTGCGTTACCGGTATGGTAGCTTAAGGTAGAGTCGCTCAGGCAACTACTCGACTACCCTTACGCTAACTTAACGTACCAAAATCAACCTGTGCAATTAGTTTTGTAAATTTATTTTATTTGAAACCTTTGATCTGATAAAGAAACACAGTATTGATCTGAATTGTACATCGATGTTTTATTATGCACATTGTTGTGTTGAGTTCCATTATTTATATTGTCCTTGCCACGAACATTTTCTTATATATTTATTGACCCTTATAGGGAATCTTGCTGATTTAGAAATTTATTATTTTAGTTACCTTCCTATTTATATCTACGACGAATATGCGCGACCATTCGACAAATCGGCATTGTTCCATTCAAATTTAATTTAATGTCCGGCGGTTGCCGGTAAAGGGTGTTTTTTATGTGGGAGATAATTTATGCGATTTTAACAGACTGGATGCAACAATAGCGCATTATCCGGCGTACAGTAATTAGTGATCAAGTAGGTGGAAATGTGGGGCACGTACAGCTTTCATCGAGACAAAAGAAACAAAAAATACAAAGCGCACATCTGCCTGATGATGTTTTATTATTAAAAATAATCCCCACCTATAATTACAACTACCAAATGAATTCGGTACCAACATTTTTTTTATTAAATTTATTATTTCAACCCTTGAGCTCAATATGAGGCCGTTATCCTTGCTCCTTTATCGCGAGCGATATTTAGTGAGTTAAAGTTACAAGGTAATGCCGACGAAATAAATCGGAATTTAGCATTAACGAACGAATTTGGGGCTTAAGTGGGAAATAAATATATTGTAATCCAATAGTATTTAAGCCACACAAGTGTCTTTCGCAGGCTATCACTTACAATTAAACTAAAAGAATGCATTGGTACATGTACTCTTTAGTAGGTAAATGTCCTGGGTATACAAATCAACACAACAGATTTTGCAAAGAATTTCCCATTTATTATTTAGAACGTTTTATTTTATTTAATTTAACTTCCAAAATAATTAAACGAATTCCGAAAGGAATAAGAATTTTACTTGCATCTCAACTGTCTACAGTGATTGAAAAATGTTTGTCATGACAGAATTTACCCCTTCATCGTGGGAAGAATTGTTTCTGTTCGCCTACAAATTTTTAAATATTCCTGTGCAGAAAAAAGGTACATCTCTTGTTCAAAAGTAGGAAAACCTAATTTCAAACCGAAGTCCTTGGGAGAACGCGTTGAAAGTAAGATTAGTGGCTAGAGAGAAGGGGAGCAGTCAACAGCTATACATTGGAGGAACTTAACAAAACCATCCAAAGCCTTCAAGCGCACTGAACTTCCTAGACGTTCCAGACACTTCAAGGGGTTGTAAAGGAATAGCAGTTCGGATTTTTAAAGACAACACTCCTCTAATGCGTTTCTCAAAATCCAATCGTCTTGCATCAAACAAAACAGTCCAGAGCCTCTGTCGACGGTGAAGCTATATTTTTTTTTCACAAATATTAATGAAGCAAATGACGTCGAAGATTTTAATACTTATAGTTAAGACGAAACAAATGTCACGAATGTTCCTGGATGCAAAAAAGGTGGTGGTTCTAAGAAACACAAAAAGGGTTGAATCCTCCCGCGGATAAAGGAAACCCGTGGTTGGTGATAATCTGGCTAACCACTTTTCGACTGCTGTAGCTAAGTCCTGTAAGGAGCCTTGGTATTTAACTCCATTCCCTGCAAATTTCATGTTTAGATAATTGGAGGAAAAAAAGCTGACATCCAGAAAATCTTTCCAAAGAGTTTGTGGAATCGTATATCTGAGACTGACGTGAGCCAAAACTTTGGGTATGTTCATAACATTTAGTTTAACCTATAGATATAATTAACTTAGTCATTTACCTATATAAAGAAAGAAATCAATATGAGATACAATAACACATTACACAACCAAACAGCATATTAATCCTTCGTCGCAGGTTCCTTTTTCATCGACACCATAAGTGCAAGTTTCGTAGCAACGCGAACTCGGAACTGGGAACCCCCCGCACTCTTCATTAACTCCTGTTTTGACCAATTTTAAGTGAATTAAAGTAGAATAATAACACTTACCTCCATGACAGTACGCTAAAGCTAACAGCGCGGCGAAGATTACGATAAAGATTGCAAGTTTCATGATGGCGAATAGCACGTTATGATGATGCTGATGTCTGCTTGAGACATTTATGCTGTTCTATCCCCATCCCTGTTTTTTAATTCCGCCTTGTATCATTTTCAGGTGTTTACCAGGTTTTTTCCGCGCTGTGAAAATATCCACTAGCAAATAAAACTTTGATCCAAAATTTTTCCATAAGATAAAAGGATTTTCTTATGTTAATGTATACATGGAAATTACTGCAAAGCGTACCGTATAGGGGATTCACTTTAATGGTTTTTGATTATCAGTGTCGGATGTTTTCTGTAGCGGAATCAATTTATATCCAAATCCGATTGAAATTAATTAGTATTGCGCAAGAAAGAGGTGGTTCCTATACTTCCAATCCCATTTCCTTGACAAAAGGTCAAAGAGGGACTTAGTTTTGGACATTGTGGGTGCGCAATAATCTAAGTAGTAGATTACAGCCCAAATACAAAAATATAAATATTTACCGTGCTAAAATAGACAAATTGCGAGTTGTTTGGGACTTACATTATCTTCAGCAAACAAGTATATTGCTTTTGTGGCAGTGTGTAATCAAAGTACACAAACATCGGAAATCTTTAAAAATTTAACATTACAACTACAAATTATATTTCACTTCTGGTTTGAAAATGTAATTAACTAGATAACTAGATAATATTTTCTTCGCCGGCAATTTTCTGTACGACAAAAATTAAGTGAGATATAGACGTTTAAAACGTGTATTTATATGTGAGCACCACTTTGTTTTAGCCCTTTAAGCTCACCCCATTTTAAAACTAAGAGTTTTAAATAGATTTGATAAATTATGTTTTTTTTTTCAGTATTTGCAGTTTAGATCTGGGCTTGTGGATAATTGTTGTCAAAATAAATGTGGAAAAATAAAATTTAGCGCTTGTAGTAAAAAGCTGTTTATTTCTGCCAGTGGGGCATTCCTCTCCTCTGTGGTTCTTGGTGCATTTTTTTTCAAAATCAATACAGATAAATATCCCTTGAAACAGAGCTGGGCAGTATACGATTTTGTAAATACTTTTTAGTATTCAAATCCTTTAAAGTATTCAAATACTTGGTAACTAAATACTTTTATGGAAGCAGTATTTGTATTTGTAACTCAAATACTTTCACAAATATTTAGTATTCGAATACTTCGCAAGGTATTTGAATACTTTGAGAAGTATTCGAATACTTCGCATAGTATTTGAAAACTTAACCTTCCTTTTTTTTTTACCAAAAATCGACTACACCAATATTTCTCGGGAAAACACTTTTTCTTATTAATTTTGGTGCGTAGAATCCAAAAAAATTTGTACTTTTTCGATCAGACTCCTCAATCAAAAGTTATAGACTAGAAACCAATTTCGAAAGAAAATTCAAAGGGCTGCAACTTTTGAACTAGTAGCCCAATCTTGGAACTGTTTGAAATTATGAATTCTACAGGCCACATTCTATAAGAAAATTTTTTTTCCGGGTCGATCTGAGACAATTTTTTTTTCGGGGCTCAAAAAAAGGCAGTGTATAACCTTCCTTTTTTATCAAAAATCGACTACACCAAAATTTCTCGGGAAAACACTTTTTCGTATTAATTTTGGTGCGTAGAATCCAAAACAATTCGTACTTTTTCGATCAGACTTCTCAATCAAAAGTTATAGACTAGAAACCAATTTCGAAAGAAAATTCAAAGGGCTGTAACTTTTGATCCAGTAGCCCAATCTTGGAACTGTTTGAAATTATGGATTCTACAGGCCACATTCTATAAGAAAATGTTTTTTCCCGGTCGATCTGAGACAATTTTTTTTTCGGGGCTCAAAAAAAGGCAGTGTGTAACCTTCCTTTTTTACCAAAAATCGACTGCACCAAAATTTCTCGGGAAAACACTTTTTCTTATTAATTTTGGTGCGTAGAATCCAAAACAATTCGTACTTTTTCGATCAGACCTCTCAATCAAAAGTTATAGACTAGAAACCAATTTCGAAAGAAAATTCAAAGGGCTGTAACTTTTGAACTAGTAGCCTAATTTTCAAACTGTTTAAAATTATGGATTCTACGGGCCGAATTCTATAGGAAAATGTTTTTTTCCGGTCGATCTCAGACAATTTTCTTTCCGGCCTCAAAAAAAGGCAGTACTTTTAAGTTATTCAAATATTTGAGAACAATTTAGAAATGTTTAGGGAAAGTTTCCATTGTCACAAAATCAAATATAAAAAGCCGATACATCTGAATACCGAACTCGATAGTCTACGTAACTTAAAAACAATAGGGACCTTTCTTATATCATTAAGACCATATGTACCAATTTTCAAAGCGATCGCACGTTTCTAAACAAGTTATCATGCACACGGACAAACGGATGGTTAAAAATGGATCTGTTCCAAATTCGCTAGGATTAATTTCAGAAAGGCGTACGTATCATGTGCACGACGTACCATCGCTTTAAAAACTGGTAGCTACACGTATTCTTAAGGATTGTATCCTTAAGAAAGGTCCTTGTAGGTGTACCTCCTATATAATAATATAATAATAATAATAATACGCTTTCACTTCCCTTAAATTTGTATATAACAATAGAAATATAAAAAAAGCTAACCCCATACAAAGTATAACTTGATTTTTTAAGTAGTATTAAGCCTTTTATCTAGTATACTATTTTAAATTTTTAATGTATTTGAGTGACAAGTATTTGAATACTTTTTACTGTATTCGAATACTTTTTATAGTATTCGAATACATTCTAAAGTATTTTAATACTTATTTTTTTAAGTATTTGAATACTTTTCAATGTATCTGTATCTAGTATTCGCTTGTGCTGGACGTAAAAGTATTTAGTATTCAAATACCTTTGATTTGTGTAAAGTATTTACTGTTTAGTATTCAAATACTTTTTGAAAGTATTCTGCCCAGCTCTGCCTTGAAATAACCAATCGAACCTCTGTCCCTTAGTACGCAATGTTACTATTATCAACATTAGTTACGGAGGCACCGAGCTAAATATAGCCCAGGGCGCTAAAAACACAGCTCGGGGCCTGGTAGGGTTAGATTTGTAATTTTTTTGTGAAGGTGGGAAATGATATGTATTTAATCTATTCGTAACAATTGTGTAAGAGTGCTCTGACGTTGTCATAGAGATATAAGTTGTTATTCTAAAATTCTGTAATTTTGTAAATTGGTCAATGTTTGCCAATCGTTAAAATAAGTCATTAGCTATAACCTACGTCTTTTTAGGTCACAGTGTCCAATTCAGTTTGTCCTTTAGCAATTAGGTATTGATAAAGAATTTTCGGGAGGGATTAAGAATTTTTCAATTCGAAATCACGACGTGAATTCAATCAAATCCTATCGATATAACGTTACTTTATCAGCTTGTTTATTTATTATTTAAATTTAATTAGCCAAAGATCTAACGTTATAGAATAGAATCTTTAGATTTGGCCTATGAAAGAGTAATTGTTATTTTATAACTTGACGTGAAGGCGCTCAAATAAGTGACAGACGTAAAAACCAAGTGGGGGTCCTGATACAATCGGTAATCTTATATTGGTGTGCCAAGTCATCCTGAAGCAGCTCTCATCTCTATTCTTTTAATCTTATTCTCAACCAATGATTACTTATGATGAATTTTGATCAAACCGATATTATTTATTATAATTTTGACAGGAGATGCCTTATCGAGATTTGTAAATCACACTCTTTGAGTCCTCATTAGATATTTTCGCCGGGATAAAAGGAGGAAATTGGCTTATATCGAACGCGCTGTTTTGACGTAAACGTTCCTTATATAAATCCGCAGCCGAACTTTTTTTTTGGTTTTCCAACAATGAAAATTCTGAACGGCGAAAAAATAAATATATATCGGTGTAAAGATAATAAATGTCGTTGTTGTTTTTGTCATAAACACTTGAGAATGTGCGAATGCGTAGCCCGCCTTTCAGATTCAAGAGAGCTTGCAGGAACGTGGAAAATGTCCTGAGCTTGACAATCATTGAAATAAGACGTCGTTACGGCGTATTTAATAGGTGCTTACATTTATGTAGGCCAATAAAGAATAAATCTCGGAATTGTCTTAATTGATATTATAAGGCTTAACGTAGATTAATATAGGAGATATCGCGGACGGACTCGAACCGTTTTATAATTAATTGAATGCTGACTCATTGAGTCTTAAACCGATCCTCTTTTAAAAAAAATGAGCCCGGCACCATTATTGGTATTGTGAAATTAATTTTACCTGTCTCGCTTGATCATCTTAAAAGGGCGCGACTGGGCGTTATTGTTCTTTAAATTCTGGCTGCGATTCACTTTGGAATTTTGAAAGGAAATATTACTAAGACGAATTTAGCATATTTAATAAATGTCAAAAATAATTCTTAGTTAAGAGGATCGTTGAAACTGTAGGTGTCGGACGGCGTGAGGTAAATGACCAGCGGGTGTTGTGTTACGATCTGGAGCGATCGAGATCTGGCCTCACTTTTCCTTCCATAACGCGCCTTTTTTCCCAGTGACGAGCTGTTAAACAAATTCACAACATCGGTGTGGCCTCTGACAGGCAGCTTGTTAACCGTTTGCGCGAAGATTAGTTCTTCAGATGCGCTCAGGGCAGTCTAACGTTACCCGCACCCCGACCACCTGGTTTGACCGCACCCTGGTTTTAATTACAAGCGGACACATGATCAATCCATCTTGCACAATGTTTATATTATTCTATCGGTAACTTACTTTCAAATCTTAATTGTGCCGTACGGCGTATTTGCATTGCTAAACAAACACTCGAAGAGCTTCTTTACTGATGCTACCAATGAAACAGATGTCTTACGGTGGTAAATTAGGACCGACTACAGAATTATGATAGTAATAGTCTCATCCGTCTTGATCTTGAATTCCAATAAAGATACATTGGCACGCAAAATTCGACCATCTGTAGTTCTTGGCCCAGTAAAGGATGCAAGGCAATAGTTTTAAATTTCTGCCGGGTCGGATGGTTTCGGCATGGAGAGAAGAGAAAACCACTAAGAAAATGGTTACATATAAGGAAGTCGCAGGAATTAGGAGTATGAAAAATGCTAAACCAAG